CTTGGGGTATGCGGTGTTAGGGGTTTGGGCTTTGGGGTGAATGTTGTTTGTAGGTGTCGGTGGTTTAGAATTACTGTCTGTCATGCTTATTCGTGCCGCCGGGGGGGGGGGGCCTCCTCGCGGGGGGGAGGGAAGCCGAGAAGGATGATATACAACGGTAAGGGCATCTTGGGGATGGTTTCCAATCTCCAAACGGCGGCAGCAGCGGGCACCGCTGGATGAGCTATACTCTTGCAGTGTTGATCTGCATTCCGGGCCGCCGAGCGTCGCATGAATGGGGCGCCCCCCACGGCCCGTAGGCGAGGAGGGGGCCTCCGCAGCACAGGGGCAAAACTCCCAACACCTCCTCCTCCTCCTCCTCCTCCTCCTCCTCCTCCTCCTACACGTGGCATAGCTGTGGTTGGGGGGGTCGCTGGGGCCTCAGCCTGGGAGGGGGAGAGCGACGATGACGGCCATAATGCTATCTTGATGGACCCACGATGTTGCAATACACCCTCCCGTGGAAAGTCTCCTCCTCGCTAGTCCCTGCAAGCATTACGCTTCCTTGCGCTTAAAAGCTTCCTCTTGCACTGCCCTCCATCATCCTCCGAGCCTTCCAAAGAGGCGGCAAACTGCAACCCCGCTTTGAAACATGGTCGTCCTCCGTCCGTGTCTCTGTTCCACCTTTTTGAATTACGTACGCCTGGTCACAAAGTCTGGCGACGTCTCAAGTGAGAGCACGATATCGAAAAGGATCCGCCCAGCATCCGTATTATTCTCCACGCGCACGCACCAAAATGCTCAGGCGAGAGCCCCATTTCGCGATAGGAGCTGCCCTCCGCAAGTGTAGCCCGCTGGTTGTGAACCCCAGCGTGCGCGGCGCCAAAGCAGGAGCCCCACATTGAAATCGACCCGTCTTCCATCAATGAATATCTTGATTTTGTTTCAGAGGACCGTGCGCGGGGCCAGGCGAGAAACCCATTGGTGGAAAGGAGCTGCCCTCCCTTGCTGAACGAATGTGCGCGGCGCCAGAGCGAGAGCCCCGTCTTGAAAATGGCCCGCACTCCATCTGTGTGTATAGGGATACGACCGAGGAGTCGATCCTATACTAGGGTCCGTAGGTAGAGGCAAAGCAGGAAGTGATTGGCTACTCCTTTCCCTGGGCGCTGCGCGAAGAGCAGCGCACTGTGTATGTTAATGCCAATACCTGAGCCGTTACAACTGCGGTATGTGATGATATAATAAGGATATGAGCGGACTTCACACACACAGCATCCGCATAACGGTTGAGCTTGTTTCAAACTCCTGTGCGCTTCGCCAAAGCGAAAGGCCCACTCTGGCAGCACACCCTCCATCCGTGAAGCTTGTGTCTTTTGCTCAGACGAGAATGTGCGGCGCCATCGCCAGAGCCCCGCTTTGATAACGACTCGCCCTCCATCCGTAGCTGTTGGGATTTCGCGCTTCAAGCCCTTACACGGTGAGAATGTCTCATGCAAAACGCCCGGACCGACTCAACAGCACGTCTGGAGGTGCGGCACGGCAGATCTACCTGTATAGAAAAGGAAAGGGGTGGGGTGGGGGGCGAGAGAGAGAGAGAGGAGCCGAAGAGAGTGAGGGGAAACGAAGAGACGACTCCTCCTCATCCTCCCTCCGCCCTCCTCCCTCCCTGCTCTCCTTCAACCAAGCGATTGCAACGCGGTGACGGCCGTGCAGTCCAGGCTTAGTGCAGCGGCGCCCGCTCATCAAACAGAACTCTACCTGCTCGCCGAGCGGAGGAACGGCGTCGTGACTGGCCCGGCAAAGCACGCAGCTCGGGGAACTGGTCAGGCTGGCGCCTCGGGAAGAATGCCCTGGCTGGCTTTCTCGGCGGGCCCTGGCCGGGGCGGAGGGAGGAGGGGGACGCCTGGGCCGCCGACGGCGCGATCTGTCCTGTTCGGGTGCTGTTTGCCACAACTTTGGCCTCCAGGAGACGCCTCCAAGCCAAGGAGACGTCCTCAAGCAGTCAGCGAGGAGGAGCCAGTCCCCTGGATGGGGCCAGGAGCTACGGAGGCCCATTGATGCCGGAGGTCTCAGGGCAGAGGCCAAAGGGAAAAAAGAGGGAGGGAGGGAGGGAGGGAAGGGGAGGAAGACGACGGAAGGACGACGGGAGGGTAAGATGAGGAAGGTGACGGGAGGGAGGGAGGAGGAAGGAGAAGGACAGAACATGACCTGCTGCCCCTCTTCTCACGAGACTGAGGATGACGCAGAGGAGGTAGGGGAGAAGCAGGAACAAGGCGGAGGACGAGGAGCAGGAGCAGGAGGATAAGGGAACAGCAGGATGAGGTTAGAGCATGAACCTCTCCACTGCCTCAGTTCTTCACATCGCACTGACGCACCAAACACTGCACCTCCCTGGGCCTCCAGGTGCTTCAAGCCCGCGAGGCGCGCAGTGCGTGGCACCTCGGATACGGCCCCGCTCACTCTCCTCGCCACCGCTGCCACCGCGCTGCAGCGTGCCCGGTTCTTGTGAGCCAGCCAGATTGCACCACGCATGCAACTCGATGAGAGATCGGGCACCGCAGGGTGGCGCGACTCCCACTGAGGAATATCTGAGGTTCTTCAGCCCTGCTATGCCATCCAGGAGCGCTTTCCCTCAGCACGCCAGGGTTTCCTCGTATACCTGCTCTGGACGTCGACAAACATTCGCGAGATTCGCCGTCTCTTGTCACGGTCGGTCGGGCACCCCTACAGACAACAGCCTCGACCTGCCAGCTTCCCTCGAGCTCGAAGGTCGGGGATGGACAGACCTCCCTTTAGTAAAATGTGGTTTAGTAAAAACGACTTTGGGCCCAAACCTGGCGGGCGCAAGCCTGGAAAATAACGGCCACGGCGCCCTCACGAAAACCGAAAACGGACAATTCACTAATCGACGTGTCACTGTTGGGGGTTCTGTCCACCCCCGAGAAGGAAGAAGCATCACGGTGCAATCGCGGGTCATTTTTCGCCCGTCGACGATTGCCGCCACAATGCGCGTCAATTGCAAGCGGGCCGGTTTCGCCCGCAAACGGCCACGGATCCGGCCAGAGGCGGTTGCCCAGCGCGTCGCGGCGGCGGCTCCGGGGACGCGCGAAGCCTTGCAGGCGGAGGGCGGTTCGCTCCGCACGGCGGGGCGGGAGGCTGGGAAGAGCTCGCGACGTGGGCGCGTGGGGACCTGGACGCGGTTAGCGTATCTCGCCGAAGCGGGGCAGGCCACGCGTGACGGAGCGACACGCTGAGCAAAAGTGACTGGCCGCATCTGTCGGCGGTGGACAGACCTCCCTTCGGGAAGCCACCCCTTCGTGGAAACGACCCAGGGCCGAAATCGACGGCCCTGGAATCGCAAAAATGACGCCCGCGACGCCCTCTCGCGAACCGAAAACGGCCAATCCCTTAATCGACGCGTCAGGGTAGGAGGTCTGTCCGGCGCACGAAACGTGGGATCTGCCGCGAAAGGACTGGGGGACTACCGAAGCCTTGACGGCTCGCCAACTGCACGCTCCGCCCGATGCCCTGTCGTCGGGCGTGCCTTCCGAATGCCTCGACAGCCGTACCATTACGAGCACGATGCCAGAAAAGTGCGCCAGCCATGTTACCCTCGCCGCTGTGAAATATGTAAATTCATGGAGGATGTGGGGGTGGGGGGGGGGGCAGATGCGCAAGTCCCCGGGCGACTCTCTCCCTCCTTTTCCCCCTCCCCCTCCCCTCCCCCTCCCCCTCCTCCTCCTCCTCCTCCTCCTCCTCCTCCCTTTTCCTTTTCCTTCTCCTCCTCCTCCTCCCCCTCCTCCTCCTCCTCCCTCCTCCTCTCCTCCTCCTTCTCCTCCTCCTCGTCCCCCCTCCTCCCCCCTCCCCCTCCTCCTCCTCCTCCTCATCCTCCTGCTCCTCCTCCTCCTCCTCGGTCGGTCGGTCGGTCGGATGGCGGAGAGTCGAAGCCAATGATGGTGAGAGAGAGGGCGAGAAGACCACATGGTGAATAATGACAGCAGGCAGCAGGGGCAGACCGCGGAGGTGGAATGCACAAGCTGCCTAGCGCACAAGGCGCGGCCTGCGCAAAGTGCAAGCTGGGGTACTATCGCTTAAAGCCGATGGACACTTAAGAAAGGATTCAGGGAGTAGCATAAACATTGGAAAAGAAGAGCCTTCCCCCAGGTCATGAAACCAGTTACTGCCTCAGGCGCAGCTGCCCAATATGTGCGGGCAGCACTCTGCTGCTACTGCCAAGAGGGTGGCGCGCCCTGTGGAGCCTATGGGTGGGCTCGGCATCCCTTCACATCAGAGCCCTTCACTGGCGGCAAAACGATGCTGGCAAGCGGTACAACATCTCTGCAACTCGAATAAACGAACATATGTAATAACACGAACAAGCAAGGACAGGAAGGGAGAGGGGAGGGGCCGATACTCTCCACAGGTCGGGGTCCGTGGCCGTGCGATGTAGCATGCAGCCCATACTTATGCCCTGAACCAGACATCCCGTAGGGCCACGCCTCGAAGAGAAATCGGAACGAGGTACGATTCTGAATAATCCCAAGAAGGACCTGCTCGCGCTCGCGAGCATTGCGAAACCCAAGTCCCCAAAAGTGCTGGGGCGAACGCAGAGGTCGAGGGTGTTTACTTCCGCCAGGGGGCCCTTCAGGAA